AGAAATTTACAACTGTTATTAAGACTAATATTTTTTTTTTTTTGTGGTTTTGAAAAATGTACCCCTGTTTTGGGTCTGAAGAATCTACCACACGTTTTATGGTAATATTATTTTTTTATTAATTTTGATGAATGTACCCTATATGTTTTATATATATGTATAGTATACAATATGTTTTATATAGTATACAATAAGTTTTATATATATGTACATGCATTGTATGGCAAAACATGATATTTTATATATAGTATACAATATGTTTTTTATATATGTACATACATTGTATGGCAAAACATGATCTATTTTTTTTATTGATTTTGCTTTCACGGTGGGGAGGATAATTTATCTTTATCATTTTCAATCCCACAATTATGGGTTTTATTTAGAATCTCATTAATATAAGCAACTACAAATTTCAATTTTCAAGTTCAAATATAATAACCGACATGGAAATACATTAATACATTAATGTAAGGAACTTCAATAAAAATTGAAACCCAATAAAGTTTTAGTCAAAGTATATCAATAGCTAGGGACCGCATTTAAAATCTCCCAAAAAAAAATTAGAAAAATAAGATTAGACACAATCAGGATCCAAAGGAAGAGCTTTGAGCATATATACTGAAATCTTATTCATAACACAATTCATAAGTCTGATAGGAGATAAAGAAATTATCTAAACTTGTTGACTTGAGCTTACTCAAGTTGACTATAGCAATATCAGTGTATTTTTCTCAATGCACCTAAGTTTGAATATCTCTCTTTGTGGTTTAGATTATCCTATTGTTTGTCATAAATTATCTAATTGTAGCTATCTTGGTAACTACGTTCCTTTGATGAGTTATTTGCATTAATTCTGAGTTTTGTATATGCCTCTTTGAAATCTAAGAGTAAAATGAATAATGCTCCAGCCAAACCGAAGTTTCTCTTGTAAAAAATTTAATAGGTAACCTTATCATAAATAACTTAGCACCAACTCCCCCAAGAAGAGGAGGGGGAATTTTTGCATTCAAAGTTTAGCTTCCTACAGCCGAACTCCAACTAGCATTTGCATAACAATTTATATCTAAAATGTATTCAATTAAAACCATGATTCAGTTAGGGCTCTAAGGCCCAATAAAAAACTAGTTGCAAATGAGTCGGGCCTAAATACTATCTAATCCATGATCAACAGAAGCAAGCCCACACTCAACAAAACTCATGGCCCAAGGAATTTTTTCACCTCGCCAATACTCGTATTCAATTAAATTTTTGATGGATTTATAAATTCATGGACTTTAATAGAGCTTAATTGATTTGTAGAGATTTCATGTAAATTTGTGATTTAATTCCCTTGAAATCTCAGGAGAAAGGTAATATTTGTGAATGCTTAAAATACACTACGAAATCGAAATCTCTCTAATTGCCTCAAATTCTTCAACTTTTTAAAAAAAAATATTAATTGAATACACCTTGATCGTTAAACTTCTTTAAATATACCCACACTTATAATGATTTCAATAATATATTTTAAAATATTGATTGAATACACATTGAATTTCAAAAAAAATCACATAAAATTCTGATTGAATACTCTAGATTTATTAAAGAACCTCAAAATTCCAATTGAATGCACCCCCTCCCCCTTAGGTTCGTCTTTCTTTCTTCTCCTCCTTCGTCTTTCTCTCTCCTACCTACTTCTTCCTATTATTTTCCTAGATTTATGAGTGTTTTTTTTCATTATAAGAACCATTGGAATTTTTATTTTTGATTCTAGTATTTCTTGAAGGTTTTCTTATTTTGAAGTTTTGATGATTTGGATGTGTGAATTTTGAAATTGATTTTACAAAAATGCAAAAATTTTGAAACTGATCTTGCATAAGTGCTAGAATTTTGAAATTGATCTTCCAAAAATACAAGAATTTTGAAACTGACCTTGCAGGAGTGCTGAAATTTTGAAGTTGATCTTCCAAAAATACAGGAATTTTGAAATTGACCTTGCAGAATTGCTAGAGTTTTGAAACTGATATTACAAAAAGTGCACGTATACTAGAATTGTGAAAGATCTTGAAAAGTACAAAAAAAAAAAATTTAAAATTAAGTTGATCTTGCAAAAGTGCATGTTGTGAAAGATCTTGCAGAAGTGCAAAAAATTTTGAAATTGATCTTGCAAAAAATAGTTTTTACGGATTGAAAATAAGTTTGAAGTAGGACTCTGTTTCAGATGGAACGGATCGTAAACAAGAGTTCCAAATTCCATCCCGAAATGTTTGGAATTTAATTTAGCTTCCAATTCCGACCCAAAATTTTTCAAATTTAATATTAGCTTCCGATTCCAATTCGACATTTTTCAGAAATTAACTGATTATTCCAAAACGGAATTCTTGGAGTTTAATTTTAGCTTTCGTCCAATTCGAAAATTTGCAAAATGAAATGATTATTCCGGATGTTATGTCCGAAAAATGAAAATTTTCGAAATTTCCAAAAATCTAAAAGTGCTGCAGTCATATTTAGAATAGGAATGTGATTGTGTAAATCCTATGGAATCTGGGAATGTATCTTATATTCCTATTAGGACTAGATTACCTATTAAATGTTGTAATCCTAAAAGGAAATGTTTTACCATTTCTACTACTATAAATAAAGGCATAATGAGGTGAATCAAACATACCTCACAATTAAATTAATCTCTCTTCTCCCTAAAGTTTGCCGCACCCCTCTCTCTCTCTAACCCTAGATCGCTCAATCAAATAGGCCTACAACAAAAAGTAAATAATTCTAAGTTGGGCCAAGCATTTGCTTTCATTTGTTTAACCACAAAAGGAACCGAAAGGCCTCGTTGCTTACCCCCCCCCCCCCCCCCCCCCCCCCCCCCCCCCCAAACAAAAAAAAAGCCCAAAAGGCTTGACATCGGCTTCAATTCAACGCCATCGCTCGTTTCCTAAGGTGAACGATGTGAGACAAAAGAAACTTGTCTATTCTAGTTTAATCTCATACAATGAAAACTAAGCAAATCATACGCATATTTGTATTTTAGAATTTCTATATCACTTTTTGAGTAGTATATTTCATATGTCATGTTCATGCTTATATTTTGGCTCCTTTTTTTTTTAGGTTTATTGGGGTTTGGGTTTTTATCTTCTTAAAATGACTCAATACTAGTAGAGTCCTCATAAATATATTTTGTGGTTTTTTGACTTTATAAGTAAAGCTCCCTATACTTTTACTCAGTGTTACTTTGCTTATAGGTTGTCATTTAAGACTATGATCTAGTGTCTAATGTACTCTTCTTCACTTACAACTGAAAAAGTTTAGTTTTGATTCTTGTGAATGCCAATTAGATAATGATAAATATTAAGGAGACTCTACAAAATGGAACTCTCTATGGACTCTTAGTCACCTCATATTTTTAACACTATGTTTTATAATGTTAGCACAAGAATTAACGTTAAGATATGAGGTAACAAAGAGTTCATGAAAAAATCTCATTTTAAGAGAATCTCCTTGATTCTCTTAGACAATAGAAACCAATTTATTCATCTACTATTAAGTTAAATATAAAAATAGACAAATAATCTAAAATTACATTAATAAAACCCTCTTTGTAAAGGGACAATTTTGTCTTCTACCACAAAACAAAATAATGGGCAGTAAAGTAAATTCACACAAATTAAATTTTACAATTTTTTTTTTCAAAACCTCACCCAAGGGTGATCCTAATATCCTTTAATTTTGAAAAATCAAATATAACAGGGAAAAATTCTCTCTCTAATCCACATTCCTTTTTCTCTCCTTCTCCTTCCCATTTTAAAATAAAAATAAAAATTATTTCACACACAAAGTGTGGGACATATGCTAGTAATGAAATACTAGCCTCTCCACACGCACTAACGTGTAGGGCGTGCGAAAGGCATTTTTGCATCACGTGTAATTGTCAAGATATACTTTAAATATATTGTGCAAAGAGGAACTCTTTTTTCTATCATGCATGTCCTAAAAAGTTATCATGTTTTTCGTTTTTACTTTGCGTAAAGTAATGATTTAAAATAATGAGAGAGAGAGTGATTTCAGGAATGGTGAGGGAGAGCACTGGAAGATATTTGTAAAGCCCTGAAATTGATTTTTCAGGAGATGGATTTCACATTTTGATAAAAATCAATCTCCACCTTCATGCTCATAGGCTTTCAGTCTCATACCAATTTTCAACTAACGCAAAAATTCACAAAAATGTGAAGGTCAAGTCAATCTATCCAAAAACTTAAAAAGTAAACTGTGAAAGGAAAACATGCAGTTATTCTAATTTTATTTCAAGATTCGAAACACTGTAGAAAGCAAATAAAATTCAGAAAAAAAATTTACAGATACATTTTTAAATTAAAAAGTACCAGAGAGAGGTGGAAAGGAAGTGGAAGAACAGAGATGGAGATCGATATTGGTGGATGGAGATATAAGGTTCAATGTTTACCCCCAAATCATTTATAAAAAATTAAGAAAAAAGAAAAAGAAATACATACTGCTCGTGCTCCTCCTTTTTAAACTCTTTGAGAGTTAGCTTGCTGAAATCAACAGTTTTCAATCAAGATCAACAATCAATCAAGGTTTTCTTCAAGCGATTATCTCACGAAATTTTTAAATTTGAAAGTGTAGCATTACTGAGAGAAATAGGTTTTAGTGTAAAAGAAATCTCTATTTGGTAGGCCCTCTCTAAATCCAGTTCCTTATAGCCTTGCAAATGAGTTGTGGAGATAATTTTAGTGAAAATTGGAAAGATTATGTAGTATGCTCTTCAGAGAAGGAAATCAGTGCATGTATAACAAAGTTCAAACCAACCACATATTATGCATGTATTTAGTTCACAAAAGAAATCAGTGCTGATATTGTTTACCAAGATATAAAACTGTGTACTTGCCCTCTATCAGATAAAGGCACTCAAAATCAAAAGATGATGGTGAATTGGTGAAGCAGATGCTAAGATTAGCAATTGGATTAGCTTTTGTTCTACAATTGGTGATGCAGGAAAACAAAGTGATTGGAGTCATACCCTTCCAAATCAAGAGAAGCAAGTTGGCTAAATTTATCATACATTAAAGGCATACCTTTCTGAAGTGTGGAATCAGAGTCGGCATTAAACTGGTAGTACCCTGAAATAAAATATCAAAACAAAGTCGGCATTAAACAGAGATGCAGGATAAAAAAAATATCTTGTACAAAGAGGACATATTCGTTCATCTCATGCTTCTGAAACCACACAACGAACTCCTGAAAACCAAACTTAGCCTCCTTCCGATTACTCATCTCTAAATACTGGTGGTATGCAATTGCTTAGTGTTGAACCTCCCACCAAACACTAATTAAAAAAATCCAAAAATTGCTCTTCATAAGGGAGAATAATAAAAAATAACTCACGCTTTTTTCCTTTTACTTTTGCTTCTCTTTTCTTCACCGACCTCCTCCTCTGCTTGTTCGTCTTCGAGTTTCAGTCTTGTTGTCTCAATCTACAAAACCCAAAATTGACTACATTAAACACAAAACCCACCAAGAAATTACCTCTATAAAAAATGCCACAAAAAAAACACATTAAGCTCCACATTCAATCATCAACCCAAAAACTTGAAATCCCTCGAGAACTTGAACAACCCCCCCCCCCCAAAAAAAAACCAAGGAAAATACAAAAAATCTTAAGACAGTATCGCATAAAAAGAAAATGGTTACCAGATTGTCTTTGAGTGAGTGCGTGTTTTGCCTCAGTGCAATCTTTGAGAGAGCAAGAGTGATGGAAGCTACTAAGGACACAGAAGGAAAGATAGAAAAAAAAAAGTGTGAAGATGATGGGACCAAAAAAAAAATTGCAATTGGAAAAAATCTTGAATCAAAAGTTGAAATCAAAAGCTAAATGGTAAGGAAAGTTGGGGTTAGGGATTTGCACAAAATGGAAAACTTACTTAAATATGGTGATCAGAAGAGAGAAGGGAAGATGAGCAATAGCCAGGAGATTGGGCTCTTGAAAGTGGGTGTCCGGGATCGAAGGTGTGAAGAGGATGGGCTCCAAGACGGCATCTCGAAGTCTGGTTTCGAAAATTAGGCTATTTTCGATTATTCATCTGTATATGGCAGTGGTATGGGGGTAGTTATTGTTGAACATTCAACTGAACTCAGATCGTGGGAATCGTTAAACTACTCTCTGGTTTCATCGTGGGAATCGTCAAACTGTTCTCTGGTTTCGATCGTGGGAAGTTGGAGTAGGACTGATAACTAAACTGGCAACTGTCTTCCTTTTCACTTTCCATTAGGTTTCAAATTCTATTGTTAATGTTATTACCTCTTTATCCTTCTTTTGTTGATTTACATAGAGTCATTAAGTAAGGGTATTTTAGAGGTTATCTAATGCTTCACCAAACTAGCCTTCTCCCTTTATATATATATATATATATATATATATAAGAATGATAAACGATAACAAATCCCGACCAGCCGCGTACACTAAGGGCGTGTTTACATAAGGGGAATGGAGTGAGTGGAATGAGAATTGCATTCATTCCAAGTGATTCATTTGTTTACTAACATTGAGGGAATGAAATTGTATGTGGGGCCCACCAAAATAGGGAATCAGATCCCTGATTTGCCTAGAATCGGATTACCAACCAATAGGTGGTATTTGGATTCCTGAAGAAAGCCCTCAACTCGGAATCAGTTTTTTCTGCCCAATAAACCCTTATCTCCGGTAACACAGCACCTTCAGGTTTCAGATTCCAGCCGAAACATCAACGTCAACACCTGTTAAACCATTGGATTAATTCTCATCACCCACCATCACAAGGCACTATTCGCCCTTCTCCTTCTCTAAGCTACTTTGCTACATACAAACGCCAACTTTCACTGCACAGCCCTCCAATCACAGCTCCGGCAAATGGGTTTTCTCCCTTCAGACGAATTTTCAACTCTTACCTCCAATCTTGTAAGCTCCGCCATCCCTGATTTGTTATTTATCTTGCTCCGATTACAATATTTTGCATTTTTTATTTCTGGGGTTTGTGCATTCCGTCGATATTCTAATACTCTTTGAACCGTTGAATCGGTTTTATATCTATTTTGAACAAAGTATTTTAGTAATCAAACTGGTTTTGATTCCAATTCATGTGAATTGGTAAACAGCTAATATAGAATATGCATTATTTGCATTCTGATTCTATACAATTTTAGTAAACAATTTCAACAAGAATCTGATTCTAATTTCATCTCATTCCAATTTCTTCTCAATTCAATTTATCTCAATCTAATTACGGATTAATAAATGTACCATAAATACTAAACACCAAATTTTATTGTCGAATCCCTAACCTATCCTGTACACCCCGCGCCGCCCAGATTCTAAAATGTCCCGCGCCTCATTTTTACACAAAACACCCTCACCTATCAAACCGAACAAAGGGTAGTAGACCCCACTCAAATCCCATATCATCTAAAATCCCACACCCACCTCAATCTCCCTAACCCTACACCCTTGCACACCCAAAAGCTACTCCCACCCCACAAACCCGAAATTTGAACATTTTGAATGGAGTAGTTCTTTACTTCTTTTCGTATATCTTTTTTTTATCTTTCAAACATTTTTGTTAATTTTTATTCATTGATTTTCTCAATTTATTAGATTAAAAGGTCAAAAATTAAGAAATACGTATGACAAGTAAAAGTAGATGTATAAATAACACCATCTTTTTTACTGTCCCTGAAAAAACATGAGGTCCCATTTAATGATTATGAAGATGACATCATTAATATGTCTCACTTTTAGTGTAAGTTAATGAAAAATAAATGTGTTGTTATTTAAGTGAAACATTAACAGGTGAAGCCATAATTTGGAGTATAAGGTATTCCGCCAGTTAGAGCTTTTCGATCCGGTCCAATGGATGCCCAATTTTCTTTAGGAGGCAGATTATCTGCCTCCTGTTTGGGTGCTCTTCTATGCTCTTATATTTTGTGCGATCATGATTAAGCCATGTTGATATTTTATATTAATTTTTTTATAGAGATATTAAGACAAAAAGCAATAAAAATATAAAATATTGACGTAACTTAACCGTAACCGTACAAATAAGAAATGATGGAAATGACACCCAAACAGGAGCGCAAACAATCTGCCTCCTTTTCTTTAACAACCGTTGGATTATATGAAAGGGCCCTTGGTAACTGTGTATTCAATATTCTAACTCTAAGGGCCCGGTTTGATATCCACATCATTTTCAAGTTTCATTTTTTTTTATTAATTGAAGACGAAAATCTTATTTGATAAACAGTGTGACAAACGAAACAGTTATCAAATATACTAAAATTTCAAAGAGTAAACTGTCGGTTTACCCCCTGAACTTTCACTTCACTTTCGATTTCCCCCTTGAACTTTTCCATTGGAAAATTAAGGACTCAAACTAATTTTTTTAGCCAATTTGCCCCCTACCGTTAGTTTTTCATATATTCCATCCATATTTCCATTAAGTGAGACCATGTGCACAACATGTGAGGGTAGTTAAGTTACTTCACTCTTAAAAATGATTAAAAAACTGAAAATAATAAAAAAAGCAAAACTTTCCCTCTATTTTTTCCCGCTAATTCATATCCTCGATTTTATTTTTCCTTCTCATTCATATGCATGAGAAATGACATATGGTGTTATTGTCTACCATTTTTATTTTCTCTAACAAATTAATAATTTGACAAATGCTAATGGTGCTATTGTCTCAAAAGCAGTGCATTAATATAAGAAACCCTAGTCTTTTTTATGGACATGTTTCTTATATTAATGCACTGCTTTGGAGACAATAACACTATGAGCATTTGTCAAATTATTAATTTGTTAGAGAAAATAAAAATGGTAGTACATGCTTCAAAAAAAGATTAACTTAGCTACTTATGAAGACAATAACACCATATGTTATTTTTCATGCATAGGAATGAAAGGGAAAATTAAAATTGAGGATAGGAATTAGCGGAAAAAAATAGAGGAAAAATTATTATTATTATTTATTTTCAGTTTTTAATCATTTTTAAATTGAAATGACTTAACTATCCTTACATGTTATGCACATGGTCTCATTTAACGGAAATATGGATGGAATATATGAAAAACTAACGGTAGGGGGTAAATTGGCTAAAAAATTAGTTTGAGTCCTTAATTTTCCAATAGAAAAGTTCAGGGGGAAAATCGAAAGTGAGATGAAAGTTCAGGGGGTAAACCGACAGTTTACCCAATTTCAAATAATAACATCGCAAAACGGTGTTACATAATTCTCTGAAGTACTATAAATTTTCAAATAATAACGCCGCGGAAATTGGTGTCACCAGAAACGAGTTAATACCTACGTTGAAGAAACCCAGCTGTAACCCAATCAGCTGAGCCCTGCTCACTCACACCTCTCTTCACTCACATGTGAACCTTGGCCCCCCCTCTGTCTCCATCTAACCCCAAAAACAACTCAAATCTACCTCTAGATTTCTCTCACTAAATACCCCTCCAAAAAACCTATGATTTTCTCTCTCTAGGTTTTCCATGGCTTCTCCAACTCCTTTCACTCTCCTCCTCTGCTGCTTCCTCATTTTTCTCCATCTGGGTCCTCTCATCCAAGCTCAAATCGACGAAACCAGCTTGAAGCTAGTGACGGAGGGTCTGGACTGGCCGGCCGCCACAATGTCGCTGCTGGACGACGAGCTCGAGGAGGCGGATGACGAGGACGGCGAGGACTTGGAACTGGACGTGGAAAACGCGTACGCGCGCAGATCTCTGTTCTGGAGGAGGATGAAGTACTACATTTCGTACGGCGCGCTGTCGGCAAATCGCATCCCGTGCCCGCCGCGGTCCGGGAGGTCTTATTACACCCACAATTGCTTCAAAGCCAGAGGCCCAGTTCGTCCTTACTTCAGAGGATGCTCTAGAATCGCCCGATGCAGACGATGATCAGGTGGAGACGATGATGTTGTTGTTTGATGGGTTTAGATGGGCTGAGTGGCAATTAGCTAAGTTTTGGGTATTAGCGTTCGAGGTTGTTTTATTGTTCATGGCATATTAAGCATCTACTTGTTGCTGCTGCAGAAGTGTTAAGAGTGTAATGTGCTTGTTTATATATATCTAATTATGTGTTATAGTAAGTTAATTAATTAATCTTTTGAATCGGATATCGTTTAGTGATCTAAATAAATCTATGGTTCATCATGCATATGCTACTTGATACATATACCATTGATTTATTTGAAATATTTGAATGACTAAACAATGTACTTTTCAAATGAATTTTTGTTTGGATGATCTTGAAATGAAGATTAAAAGATTGAATATGTCCAATTGCAAAATTTTTACGATGAAGATACGTTGTTTGCAATTTGAGGAATGAGCTCATGCAAGTATTATCCTTAGTTTTTTAAGATTGTAATATTGTTATTTTTAAAGCTCAAATGATTATTTGGTTCAATGATACTCAGTACTAACCTCGAACTATAATTTTTAAAATGAGCTTAACTGTACTTAACTATCTCAACTACCCTCTACCAACTCCTTTAATTTTCAACAACCACCATCGATTGTTGTTTGCTAGTTGCTACAATTATTACATGTTGCCGAAAATAAAATGCAGGAAAAATCTCACTCGTGTGTGGCATTACTGTTTAAATATTAATCAAAACACAAAGTGTTAAGATTTTAATCACAAAGTTTTTTGTTTGTGTTTATATAGATAATAGTTTATAAGTAGGAATCATATAATCCTCGTACCGGTGCTTGGTTAGGGAAAATATTTGCAGTTTCACTTTTGGGAAACCATTTCTACTTTTGAAAAGTTTGACCTAGCTGGAGATTCTAATCTTTGTTGCAAATACTTAGAGCAGTTCCAGGGAACCCTCTAGGAAATACACTATGCTATCCACCTAGTGAATAAAAACTGCCATTAATTAACAATAACCGTCTTTTGCATCTCCACAGTTACACTTAGACCTAGTTTGGGAGTGAGGTGCTTAAAAAAAAAGCACCTATGAAAAAAAG